ATTGCCTGCCATCCCTTTTGTTTCTTTATACTCTCTAATCAGTCTGCATGCCCATTTGTAATAACACTGTGGATTTAGTCACAGCAAAAAACAAAGGGAAAAAAAAAAACATTAAGGGAATGATTTGTTTACTACTTTGTCTTTCACCTGCAAAAACTACAAGAGGAACTTGCAGTCTCCCTGGACAAATGGGGAACAAAGTAGCCATGTTGAATACCTAAACAAGATCACAAGAACTTCAAGCAGCGGGAGGAGCTGTAGAATTAAGGATTTTCCAAAGCTGATTATTCTAACAAAAATTTTTTTAATCTTCCCTGATTCCTGTTAAAGCAATTGTAAATGAGCATTTTCCCAATTATACCGGTGGCCATTTCCCATCAGTTCAGCATACATGTACTCAAACACTTAAAAGAAAACTAGCTGGTTTCTTTCAAGGCGAAGGTTTGTTGAAGCATTTTATATTTTCAGTGGTGGAAACACTAAATGATTAAGTAATCATGGGCATCTGCACATCTACGTTTTTTAGGTTCTGATAATCAGTATTAGACACACTTCCAACTTTATAAAGGCTCCCTTTTAATTTCTTGTAATTACAACAGGAGAAGGAACAGCTGAGGACATTTCAAATACAGTTCTAAAGCACTGCAGGGTGTGGTGCTCTTATGAAATCAAGACACAGGCATAAAATCTTGTCTTTTTTTTTTTTTATGTATTTCTTTACCAAGTAATGGCGCCAACCTGGATTCTGCAACCCTACATAAATCACTGCCAGTTGTGGCTAAGCTATAATGTTAACCAACCAATTTAAAACCATTACTGACATAGAAACATGTATTTAGAGATTTTGTGCCAACTATGAAACCACACAGTTTTTCAATCATGTGAACAGGATACTCTATATGGAATGCTAAATACTAAAAGCCACATTGGTTTTTGGGGTTACCTTTCTTGATTGCTCAGTTTGGCATAGAGGGCTTTTACCAACTCTGGACATTTCAGCAAATGGTCTGTAACAATCAAGAACCTAAAAAAAAAAAAAAGTGTTACTGGTGCTACAAAAGCAGCATCTATATTTCATCCAAATGGTGCTGGTTATTTTTACTTGTAGATGACTGCATGACATGCTTCCTGTCCCATTTGCCAATAGATACAAATTGTCACAAAATAATTGCTCATTGTTCTGCATTATTTTTCCTAACACAGCAATGGCCATTTCCCATCAATTCAGAACACTTTTACTCAAATGCTTAAAGGAAAGATGGTTAGAGTTTTTTGCCAGTTATACAAAAGGCATACCACAATTCAAATAATAAAACACTCATCCAATTGTTTATGCATCTCAGCAAAAAGCCAAAGTTCAAGCTTGAAAACTATTACGCTACTCATCACAACACTGTTTTTAAGCCCACCAAACAGTCAAAGAAGGGCCCAAATAATTTGTCTTTTAAAAAAATTTGAACAAAGCATCAAAGCAAATGGCAACTTTGTCATACGCAAGGCAGCAAAACACTGTTCTGAACTTACAAAAAATATCCTCCTTGTGTAATAGGGACCCAAGCTGATAACCAAATCTAACTCCTTGCTCTACGAGGCAGGTAGGTATGGTCAGTCTACTCTTGTGCTAATGCCAGTATTTACACTGACCACTTTCCCAAGCGCCATTCACAGCAGTCAATAGCAGATGCTAGTCATTTAATTTCAACCCAGACATGTACTCGCAGCATTATGGGAAAAAACAAAGCATGTAAAAATATTTTTCTCCTCAAATTACATTCCTAGGAGTACTGACAGTGTTATATATGCTGCATGGGTATACACATACTAAACTATGCATTTTTTAAACAGCATGTCTACCTATTAAATATAAAATAATTACAGGTCAAATCTCAGATCATCCTCTGAACCGATGAAGCTATTGAGAAAGAATAGTTGAAACAGTAGGAAATCCAAGCGATTTCAATATTCCCTCCCCCTCCTCCTTACTCTTCACTTTGCTGACAGCCTTTTATTTTGTGTATCCGTAATCCACTACAAGGCTAACAGGAAGATCACAGAGAAGCCTTCCAGCTGCAACAAAGTATTTTTTGGACAAATACTCCACAACAATTGGGGAAATAGGAGAACAAGAGGTCCAAAAGATTAATAGCTACTATATTGCTAATGTTAACTGTGGACTTAGCCAGCATCTGGTTCAGTTACTGTAAACTAGACATTTTTAAGACGGGGAGGGAGAAGAAAAGCTATTTTTTGCTGAGCATTTTTACTGATGTT